ATGAAATAGTAGGGGAATTGTGATTACTTAACAAAAATCAGGAAAAAGACCTAGCTTTCAAGGTGTAGGAACAGAAGTGTTTGTCATTTCAATTTGGCATGTCTCACAGCATAGGCCAAAATAATCTGGATAAAGCACATTATCCATGAGGGTTTTTTTTTTTTTAAAAAAACTAACTAAAAGCTCTATAAGCCCAGACTTAAGAGCCCCAGTATTTTCTTCTGCTCTTTATGATCTGCTCTTCTCAAGTGATCATAATGATTCTTACAAGCAACCAAAAGGCAAGAATAGGTTTAAGTAAGACATGACTTTAAAGGATACAAAGGGACCTGGTGGCATCTTTGGGACTTTTGAGCTGCAATTAAGTTACAATATTAACATGCAGGAAATCTTCACACATTTTCCAGTGGGGTGGTAACTTTTATAAGTCAAGTATGGAGGAAAAATAACATAAATGTTCGCATGCTGGCTTGTCCTATGTCTCAAGCTCCTTTTTGAAGGTTGGGATAACAATAAAGTAACAGAGTACTTGGGTGTTTGCTTGTGATATGGGAAGCAACATTGTACTGTCTAGCTAACACTGGCAATGTCCATCAAAGTACTAACCAAACTTGACCCTGTGTCAGAAATCAGTCATGATTTGATAAGTTTAGAGTTGTAAAGTAACTGTAATTTTAAATAATTACAGTTAAAATAAATTTCAAAGCCACATTTTTAGTATTTAAATTAGTCAGTCCCCATCTTTTTAAAAAAAAATATTTATTTATTTTGATACATCCCAACAATCAACAAAATTTTGCCGTACAGGACTTATTTCAATATACATTATTCCAAAAGTAAGCATTCCTTAAATGACCTACTGTACCTTCCTTAGTTATGTATCACCCAACAAACCCTCCCCCCTTCCCCCCTCCCCCTGGAACAGCAATTCTAAATCTTGTCATTGCATCAATTTAACTGTGTGGAAAGCCTGGTTCAAAATGTTGTATCTATCGTCTCCGTCTATTTTGTCTATTAACACAGACCATTTCCTAAACCAATCTTGTTCTATTTGATTATTTATACACTTGTTTTTCCTTTGATTGATAAAATCATTAATTATATATTCTGATAGATAGGCCCACCAGGTTTCCAAATCCCATTTTGTATCGTCTCTCCATCCCCGGGCTATCGTGGCCTGTATTACGGCTGTCATATATTTTAGGATTTCTGTCCAATTATTGTTGTCTTCCTTTGCCTTTATGGTGAGGGACATGAACCTGGCTTTATCCCACATTAATTCTTTCCCTATCATGTCTTCCATTACCGTCCTTATTTTACCATAATAGTTCTGGATTTTTTTACAATCCCACCACATGTGGGAGAATGAACCGATCCCCCCACACTTGTGCCAACATTTGTTTGAGATATTTCCCATAATGTGTGCTAATTGGGTGGGGGTTCTGTACCATTTGGAGATTATTTTCCTTTGGGTATCCTTGATCCTCATATGTTTAATTTTATGAATATTGTCAATCCAAGACACAATTAATTTCTCATTGAAGCTTTCCTCTTGTTTCCAATTTTCTATAAGGATTGTTTTTGTTTTGTAAGTTAAAGTGATTAATTCCTCATATAGTAGCCCAGTAATCCATTTGTCTATTTTTACTTTCCTTTTAATTATTCTGTCAAGTGGGGTTTCTGTTACTTCTCTTCTTTTCATGGCCTGAGCTTTTCTGGACAGGCCTAACCATGCTATCCAGTTTCCTTGACCACATTTATCTTTTATCTTATCCCACTTTATTATTTCTCCATTGGGTTCCATGAGGTCCCCTATCCTTTTGATTCCATTTTCCTTAAGTGCCCTAATTAGATTCCTTAATGTCTTGTCCTTATTTTCCAAGGTTTCTAATGGGAAGGGGTTGATTTTGTTTATTTGTAATTTATTTTGCCATTTTTTCCAAATTAACAACATTGTTAAGCATGGGCCGACTTTAAAGTTCTTTAAGTCTTTTCTGTCTATTCTCTCTCCTATATACGTTCCCCTTTGCCAACTGTTTGCTTCCTTTTCTATTTGCACCCATCTTTTCGTCCCTTCCAATTCAAATTCTAATAATCTTGCCAGCTGACTTGCCTCATAATATATTCCCAAAGAGGGAGCCCCCCATCCACCCATTTCTTGTTTACTATAATATAAAAAGTTGGCAATTCTGTTTTTGTTTCCTCCCACTACCCATTTTTAATAGAGTTATCCCATTTATTCAGCAATTTGTTAGGGATATTCACTGGGAGAGTTTGGAACAAAAATAGGAATTTGGGCAAAATCTTCATCTTATAATTTTTTAACCTTGTGGATATATCTCGGAATTTCTTTCCCCATGTGTTAATTTATTTGCTTATATTTTTCCATAGACAATTAAAATTCATTGGTATGATATTATTGAGATTTTTTGGTATATTTACCCTCAGATATTTCATCTTTTCAGTCAGTCCCCATCTATTTTATATTAACAGGGCCAATGTGAAGAAGCAAACATGGCTGCCTGTCTAGCACAAATTGCATTTAATTTGGCTATCAGGACTAGATTATTAGAATACACACATAAGAATTTCATAGTCATAGAATTGGAAGAGACCTCATGGGCCATCCAGTCCAACCACCTGGCAAGAAGCAGGAAAATCAAAATTGAGGAAAGAAGTGCTATTTTTTTAGCTGAGCCCTCAGAACTAAGAACCAGTAGTGGGCAGGGATAAGGATATGTGTCACAGGGCACAACTGAGAGCAAAGTTGGTATAAGCAAAAACTGAATGAACTCAGATCCAATGTTATAAATTTCAGTAGTTTACAGAAAACATACACATCACCTCTGTGCATATCTGCACTGACGTGAATCTCGGTTCAGTACATTCCTAGCCTGTAAAGCAGAGCTTAGCTTGATGTGTATCTACTTGGAAGTGCAGCAACAACCATTGCCTTCCTGCACATTATATATCAGTTATGTGCAACAGCTTCCCAGCTCAGTTCAGTGCAAGCTTTAAAGTTTACATGCTTTAACTGACTTTCAATAATTTGATTGGGAACATCTTGGAAATAACTGGTTTGAAGTCCACATGGTGAACACTTGGGGACCACATCTGGTTCCCTGGCAGAGATCTTCCATCCACAACCTTGAAAATCTCAGCTAATGCCAGAATGAAGACTCAGGAAAGTTAGAAGATATAACAAGGATATTTTTTTAAAGTATACTTTAGAAAGAATAATATTTAATGACTTCCTGGGTCAGGATCCTGGCTAAATATAATCTAAACCCAACCAATTCATTTAAGCAAGTTTTTTATACAGTTTACCATGTTTCAGGGATTTTATTGAGAGATTGCTATGGAGGAATCCACGTACCCTTGTGATATACATAATTTATTCAAGTCTTTTGGATCTCTTTGCTACATTACATGGTTTTAATTTCTTTGCCTATCTGGTATTGATCTCTTACTGTAGTTATAATTGTTATCTAGCTTTATGTGATTGGGTTATGGTCACCAATTTGTATATGGGGGAGGAAAAGTAATGAATGGTATCATTTTGCTGCAATGCTACTTTTAATGTTGTCCATCTTGGTTTAACTACTAATACATTTGCCTTCTTAAACATACAATACTTATATTTTAATAGGGTATTTCATTAAGGTAATTCTTGATTTGTTCTTGAGGTGTTCCTTAACAGGACACCTCAAGAACACATCAAGGCTAAATCAAGTCACAGTTAGTATACACCTAATGTATCAATGGGATTTATTGAATTACTATTTCAGCAAGTCTTTTTTTGGCTGAGCCAATGTAACATAAAGGTTTGAATGTTGAAACTGATGGCACAGCTGTGCTGACCACTTAATGGGAAAGGGCTCCAGATCAGCTCCATGGTGGCCAAATGCCACAAGGAGCTGGTCCAGGGTAAAGCAGGGTAAGACCACATTAATAGTATATTCCCTGAATTTAGGCCCATGTAAAAAGTTTGGCTGGTTCCGAGAAAGAACCAGCTGCAACTGTTTTCACTGCCATCTCATGTTTCCCAGGCTCATGTTCTTCTCCCATTCTCTGCATCTCCAGATACTACATGGGTCCTTCTGGTCGGCTGTCACCTGCAGTGATGTTGACCAGGGCAGCAGCATGATTGAGAAAGGGAGGGGGAGAGGAAGGGGTTATTCATCCCCTCCCCCTGCTGTATAGCCCCATTACCCTGGCTGATATCATTGCAAGTGAAGACCCATCATACCTGGAGACCACTGCAAAACAGAATGGGAGGGGGATGATAAGGGCGGTCATCCAGTGCCAGTCAACGGGGTTCATTACCGCTGGATAGTTGGGATTTCCTCCTATGTCCACAGTGGCCAGGGGTGCCTGTGAAACCCAGGCCAGGGCCCACCTGGCATACACCATACCAAATCAGCACTGTGATAACAGGTCAGTGTAAATCCCACTCATAGAAACCACAGATCTTTCACAATTCTCACTTTCTCAGTCTAAGAAGGGTGCTGTGGCAAACCTCCTCTGAATAAATCTGTCCAAGAAAATCCTGTGATGGGTTCTCTATAAGTTGAGTTGACTTTGAAAGCACAGAAGTACAACTGTGGTTAGAAATGAAAATTAGATTGAGCACACAATCTATATTCCATTAGTCACCTCTTCTTGTAAAAAAAAATGCTCAGTTCACTTACTACATCATTGCGTCTAATAGTGATATGAATATATGCTGCACAAAATGAGTCATTTTGTTTTAAAACAGATTGCAGATGAAAGGAAACCATTCATTGCTTGCTGTAATTACTAGAGCACTAATTACTTCTAATCACTGACATCTTGGGTCAATAAGGATGACAACAGGAACATGAATGGTGAGATGCATAAGCACAGTTGCCCATCTCCTATTCCAGATTACGTTTTTATGGAGATTCTTTTGTTACTTGATACTATAAATATTAAAAATTGCTGCTTTTGTATAAAAATGTTGTTTTTTTAATTTGCAGTTTGACGGTGAAAACATGTATATGAGTATGACAGAACCGAGCCAGGAGTATGTGCCAGCCAGCCAGGTGGGTTAATTAATCTTCTCTGCCTTGTTTCAAATTGTAATTAAACAAATTCAGAGAGTTGCATTGCAAATGAGTGGCACTATCAGTAACTGCTGCAATCAGAAATAATCATAATTTATAAACAAAGCATTTAAGCCTTGTTTCCAGCTAATGAGATAGCACTGATAAAACACCAGAGTTGGCAGTTGTTGAAGATACTACCTTGTTTGCTCTCCAGAATGCAAGCAGCTGTTTTGCCAGCATGATCATTCCCAAGCAGTTGTTTTACCTTTAGGAAATAGTCTTTCCAGGTGCATACTATTTGTTTATCTGACTCTAGACAAGGTAATCATTAAAACCCACAGGTGCCACCGATTGTTTACTTATCACTCTCAAGCCTGTTTGGGCTGAAGAATTGGTTCATTTGGGGCATGGGAGACTGAGGAGAGGGAGAGAATTGTTATCTAAAAGATAGTTTCATTATTTAAATACTTCCCAGTTTGCCACAAGGCTTGTTTAGGGTTACAATTCAGAACAGGTGATAAAATATCAATGAAAAGAAGCAAATACAAAACAGAGGAGAATAAGAAAAGCAAAGGAGATTTTTATTAAACTTTAAGAACTAGTGGGAAGAGCTCTTTGAAATTGTGGAATTGGGAGGTGGTGGACTTTCCAGGTCTTGATGAAATTTGTCTTTTATTATAGCCACTTGATTAGATGAAGCTGGAGAGATGGGGCTGATTTCTTCCTCTGTCCCTTGAGTTTTCTGTACAATAGAGGCATGGGACACTCATTAAGTGTCCCATCCTGCAGTCTCATGAATTTGACTAGGGGTGAATCTACATTGTAGAATTAATGCATTTTGACATCACTTTAAGTGCAGTGAATGTTATGGAACCTTGGGCATTGCGGTTTTATGAGGTTCTAACCCTTCTATGCCAAATACGTAGTACTGGTGTCTTACTAAACTACAACTCCCAGGATTCCATAGCATTGAACAATGGCACTTAAATTGGTATCACATTGCATTACTTCTGCAGTGTAGATGTTCCCTATGTCTTTCTAACAGTGGTGCTCTTAGGGATTCTGTTGGTTTACCACCAACCTGATTGCATTGTTGGCTGGAGTCTTCTGAGTCTCATCAGCAGAGAATTTAAAACAACTATGCTTAAACTACTTTGTAATGAACCGTTTAATACTTCGTTGATCCTGTCACAAAATGCTATGCTTAAATTCAGGTGACAATCTTGATCTAGTCTTCAGGGTTAGATAGAACCAAAGGTAAGGAACCTTTATCATGAACAGATTATCACCTGCTGCAGTTTTGATTTACTGGAACTTGTACATGCAGACAGTATGATTAAGGTGTTGTGCTGCAGGAGGCTGATGGACTCAGTGAACTCCTGATATTTATTTGGGAATTCGTATCACCTTGACAGGTGATCACTGACAGGTGATCCCATTGAAGTCCTGATTGATATCTATAATGGGCAGATGATCAGGGTGGTCGATGTAGCCACCTTACACAATGTCTCCTGTAGAATGGAGTCAGTGAGTCCAGGAATAGAAACTAGGATATTAATAGTAGAAAACCTGGAGCCAATCTGACCAAGCATGGTAAGGGAAAAATCAATGGAAGCCCGATTTTCGGGCAGTGGCAAATTAATAATCTCATGCTGTTATTGCTTTTGTCCAGAGTTGTTTAGCAGAACTCTTTCAAGTGGTCAGGCTCCTATTGTGCTCTTGGACACAGAAGGAAAATGCAGGTTATTCAACAGCCCACTGCAAGGACTTTGTGTAATAACTTGTTTCTTTACAGTAAGGCTGTAATTTCTACAGATTCCTTCTTCTGTCTGCAATGACTCTGTGGCACCTCCCATACTGTTCCAAAAGGCTCCACAACACTCTAGATCAAATTTCCAGGAACATAGCATTTTGGTATCTCTTTAAATGTCAAAGCTAACGGAATCTAACCATTTATAGTCCAATGGGATCCTTAGAATTCTGTAATGGAGAGATACTGGGCTGTGGGTCAGAAGAGAAGACTAGAGCTTTCCAGGAAAGAATGGTGAAAACCTCATTGAGGTACAGATACCAAGATTCAGCATGTGTAAAGTGGTATCAAACTGTTGAGTAATTGGTTAAGTGGACGAACACAGAGGATGCTCACTCATGCTTCCTCTTCATCTTGGAAAGAAGTGACAAGTGGAGTGCCGCAGGGTTCTGTCCTGGGCCCGGTCCTGTTCAACATCTTTATTAATGACTTAGATGAAGGGCTAGAAGGCATGATCATCAAGTTTGCAGACGACACCAAATTGGGAGGGATAGCCAATAGTCCAGAGGACAGGAGCAGAATTCAAAACGATCTTGACAGATTAGAGAGATGGGCCAAAACTAACAAAATGAAGTTCAACAGTGACAAATGCAAGAGACTCCACTTTGGCAGAAAAAATGAAATGCAAAGATACAGAATGGGTGACGCCTGGCTCGAGAGCAGTACGTGTGAAAAAGATCTTGGAGTCCTCGTGGACAACAAGTTAAACATGAGCCAACAATGTGATGTGGGGCAAAAAAAAAGCCAATGGGATTTTGGCCTGCATCAATAGGAGCATAGTGTCTAGATCTAGGGAAGTAATGCTACCCCTCTATTCTGCTTTGGTTAGACCACATCTGGAATATTGTGTCCAATTCTGGGCACCACAATTCAAGAGAGATATTGACAAGCTGGACTGTGTCCAGAGGAGGGCGACTAAAATGATCAAGGGTCTGGAGAACAAGCCCTATGAGGAGCGGCTTAGGGAACTGGGCATGTTTAGCCTGAAGAAGAGAAGGCTGAGAGGAGATATGATAGCCATGTATAAATATGTGAGAGGAAGCCACAGGGAGGAGGGAGCAAGCTTGTTTTCTGCTTCCCTGGAGACTAGGACGCGGAACAATGGCTTCAAACTACAAGAGAGGAGATTCCATCTGAACATGAGGAAGAACTTCCTGACTGGGAGAGCCATTCAGCAGTGGAACTCTCTGCCCCGGAGTGTGGTGGAGGCTCCTTCTTTGGAAGCTTTTAAGCAGAGGCTGGATGGCCATTTGTCAGGGGTGATTTGAATGCAATATTCCTGCTTCTTGGCAGAGGGTTGGACTGGATGGCCCAAGAGGTCTCTTCCAACTCTTTGATTCTATGATTCTATGATTCTAAATACTCAACACAAGGATAGGGCTTCTGGTAGGGATCAAAGCTATACTATTTTACAACTGCCACATCTCAAGTTTCAATTAAAAATTCTTTTTTAAAAACTACCTGATTAATCTTAATATTACTGGCCAATGTAATTCATTTTTTAATAAAAGCTGTCTTTGGAGAAAGAGTGTTCTTTGCAGATTATTTCTTAGCCTTCTGCAGATTTCATTTTAAGAATGCCTTTTTGAAGAATAAACCTGTATGATTGAACTAGCTTGGCTAGGTTCTGTAGGTAGCTTTGAGTAACAGTGTTTGATTAAAAGTTGTGGGGGTGGGAGAGGGCAGGAGGAATATTCTTTTTTAACCTCTGTATCCAAAAAAACGGTCTTGACAGGTTTAGCAGTACTTTTAGATTAAAGCAACCAGGCATCATCTTGTTCATGCCTTGAGGGCTTTGAAGCACAAGGGCTAATTGAATTTGCTTGAAACTGTAGAACTACAAACTGTCTGAATGACTGCTGTTACGAAGCAGCTGCTACCTTTCAGAGAATCATTATGTCTGTCTTAAATAGTTTTGAACAAAGAATCTACCTCTGCATTTTCCAGCAGAGCCATTTTCCTTATGATGATATGCTATACACAGAGCCATGTATTTAAATCATTTCCTTTGGATTTTTAAAATGTAAGTGAAAAAGAAGGTTGCATGTTTAACTCAACTTCTGCACATAAGCACAGCATTGGAGAGAGCATTCTTAAAAGGACACTAAAATGGTCTTATTTGCTTAAAAAGGTGATAGTGCACATGCTGGTAATCTCAAGGCTGGGCTTCTGCAATGTGCTTTACATTGGGCTCTGTACCAAGTTTGGAAACTCCAATTAGTTCAAAACATGGCAAACAGACTGGTTAAAGGAACATCCATATTACGCCCATATTGAAGTCACTCCACTGGTTGCCATTTTGTTTTCAGGCAAAGTACAAAGTGTTGGCTTTGACTTTTAAAGCCCTACTTGGTTTGGGTCCAGGCTACCTATAAAATCACCTTCTTCTGTACATTTTATGGCTCCTTAGGACACTGAGGTCCTCTGTGGGATGCTTACTCCAACCAGCCAAAACCTGACCAGCAATTGTCACCCAGAGCACCTTTTATCAGTCACCCCAAGACTGTAGACTGTCCTGCCAGAAAAGGTCCGACAGCTAAATAAATAAATAAGCTGTCAGAATTTAAAACAGAATTGAAGATGTATCTCTTCCATCAGGCCTACACAGTCAACTCTGAATCATAAGTTTTGAATTTACATTCTATTACTGCCATATGTTGATTTTCTACCCTGTGTTTGGCGTATGTTTTTATAATATTTTTTATTTGTGTATTTTATTGTATGTATTTTATGTTCATACATTTTGACTCTGTTGTACCCCACCTCAATCCATGAGAAGATGTGGGTAACAAATAGAAGTTGTTGTTGTTGTTGTTGTTGTTGTTGTTGTTGTTGTTATCATCAGCAGCAGTAGCTAAGGTCAAAGGCCAATATATAGAATAATCATATTTTAGTAGTCAGCTTCTACTATTATCTACAGTTCAATCTGACAAGAAAGAAAAAGGCCTACTGATGAAAAATGTATATGTTGCTTCTTGTGAATTCAACTTTCAGCATGAAAAATAATATGAATGTGCAACAAAAGCCAAACTCAGATTCCCTATGTTTGTAAGAATGTGTTTGTATGCAGGGAAGCATTGTTGTCTCTTATTTTAAAGCTTTTAAAATCAATTTATTACCTCTAGGCTAACATAAATAAAAACTCATCCGTCAGTCATGAAAAGTAGAACATCAAACATCTGCATAG